ATGGCAACTCTCATCATCTTAGAAAAGCTTGATTAAATCCTGGACACCTCTTCAGCTCAAGAGTGAGAACTATCAGTAGAGTCACTACAATAAGCCAGATCTGGTCTGGTCTGTGTACCTGCTTAAAAACTCCCAGTCTCCATGGGCTGGATTTTGCCTGGGTTCTGGGGCTTCAGGTTAGAGTTATCATCCTGCTTTCATAGCACCTACATTTCAGGTGAAAGAAACTCATGATACAGATGATGAATTAAACATTCAGCCTCTGAATACAATATGATTTAGTGAACAACATGCATGTCTAGAAAGCACATTGGGTTTTGGGTCTAAAGATCAGTATCTGCAGCCAGAAGGTGTAAGTGTGAATACTGGTTCTCCCTTTAGTTGGAAAGGCCTTTAGAATTCATTTAACCTCTTTGAGTCTGAAGCTCAATTGTGGGTGGGGAGTATCAGTCCCACCTACCTCATGAGGTTGGTGTGAAGATTTGTACACATAAGAGGGTAAATGTATGAAAATGCTTTGGAAACTAAAGCTGTATATGAACCTTGCTCTCATTCAGGTCTCCAAGGGTCTAATATTTACCTACGCAGACAGGTCTAATAGGTGAATTTTGGGTTCCCTGAGCTACCCAAAAGCAGGAAAAACCTTACAGTGGCTGGAACCAGGCACCAGAGAGCTGCGTTTCAGGGGTTGTTTGCTCACCTTTGACTTATCTGTACGGCTGCTTTATTTTTCTCTCATTTCCACATGACAGAGTTATCTGCTCCACAGTGTGGTCTCCAGTTTTTAAATTTTCTTCTCTTTAGTGCAGTAGATACTGACTGGGATCTCTGAATCCAAATTCCCAAAGAGGGAGCATGTGATGAGCCCAAATTTGGCCAGGTGTCCAGCCCAAGGCCCATTAGCTCTGGCCAGGGCCTGGGTCATCTGGCTCAAACATGGTAGCCAATCTCCTCTCCCCATTCCTTCCTCCTGCCAGGGGTAGATTATGGGTAGAAGAGGAAGGAAGTTCTCTCATAAAGCATTGTGAGATGGTAGATGGTGGGCCCTGCAAAATGTATTAGATACATTTTGTAGCTTGGGGAGAAATCACCCCACATCACCAAGCCTCAGTTTTCTCTTCCATAAAATGGAGATTAAAACCACTTTCCCACCAGGGTTGTTGTAGAATTTAAATGTAATAATTTGAAAATGAATCATGAACTCCAAGAGCTCTAAAAAATGTGAGGTCTTACTCTTAGCCAGAGCAACTAAGTATTTATTTAGCGCTTATTACTCACGAAGAATACTTTTCAATACAAAAGTGAAAAGTAAAGATAAATCCAAGGAATAGAGAATAGTTTAGTAATAATGATCACTGGTTTTGGAGTCAAACAGATTTGGGTTCAATTGTCCTTGTAACCACTTATCAGCTGTGTGGCATTGGCCGAGTTTTCTATCTCTGAGCCTCAGTTTCCTCACCTGTAAAATGAGAGTATTAGTCTTAATTACAGCCTCTATAGCCCTACTTGATTCAGCCTCTGTACACCTCTCCCAGGGTCAACCATGGCACTCAAGCCTCCCCAGCCAGGCTTCCCAGTGGTTGCTCCAGTATGCAGAGCTTGTGCCTGCTTCAAGTTCTTAAGAATGGTGGTTCCCTCTGTCTGGAATGCCCTTTCACCTGGTCTTGACAGTGTGGGCTCCTTCATTTTTTTCAGGACTTTGCATAAATATCACATCTCTGAGGTAACCATCTTACCTAAAAATGTGTTTGTGCCATCTCACCCACCTTGCTCCTCTCCACAGCACCTGTCACTCCCTAAAAGTATATATTTATTTGAATTACTAACAGCTGCCTCCTCTTCTAAAATATAAACTACATAATCCCAGGACTCTGTTCTTTTAACTAATGTGTCCCAAGCCTGAAACAGTGCCTGACTCTAGTATGCACACATATTGTCAAATGTCTGATGAGTGGCTTTCTCACAGGGCTGCTAGAAGAGTAAACCATGATTACTTAAGTTATGGTACAAGGTACTGAGCATACACCTAGCACAGAAGAAGTGCATGTTCTGGGTTGAGTAGTGATCTCTCCCAAATTTATGTTTACCCAGAACCTGTGAATGTGACCATATTTGGAAACAGAGCTTTTGTGAATGTGATCACGTTAAGATATGTTGTGAAGGGAAGATATCTTGGGGCCCCCAAAATCACTACGCTAAAGAGAAGAGTCAAGATGGGAACTACTTAGGGCAAACCTGCCTCCCATTGTATTCAAAGTCACCCCTCTGCTCACTGAGACAAATGCATATCTGATTGCCTAATAAATAAAGTAAAATAATTAGATAAATGTAATGGGATAAATACTTATAGACAAACTCATCATAATTTAGAATTTAAAGTTAAATTAAATAATAGATATTTCATTATTTGGGTATTTTTCAATAAAAATACATTTATAGGAAAACATTCTTTTAAAAAAGTATGTCCTTTTAAAAATGGTGAACAATTTTTGTCTCATTCAAAGCTTATTTAGAGGTCACATATAAAACAAGGCAAAAGGAACCAGGAAATAGGAGAGATGTAAAGAAAGTTACAAGAATAAAGAAGTTTTTTTTTTTTTTGGTAGGAAAGCTTAAAGACAAATAATTTCATATGAGAAAGACTCTTGTATGGCAAATTTAGTCCCAAAGTAAAATGACTGGTTGTTTAAGAAAGAGGGATGCTCAAGACAAACCAGAAAGTCCAAGCATGTCATGAACAGTCTATGTAAGTCACAAGAGGATTTATTTTTATAACACTTTTATCTAATCAAGTTGTCATATTATTAAGTTTTGGTTTGCTCAGGAAAAAACCGAGAGTAAATTTTTATTAAGGTTATTATATCTGCATATCTCTCTGTATGCCCCTTCAAAGTGCTTGTGACATTGACTTACAGGGCTTTGACTCCTGGGCCTAAAAAGGACACCAAGTCCTGCTAAATTTTAAACACTGACAACAATTAAAGCCCCATCTTCAGGCCCTGTGGAAGATGCCAATCAAAGTAAACTGCATTCCTGAGACACAGGGCCAGAAATTAAAGCTATTCAACTCCTCAAGGCCCAGGGACTATCATGGAAGAGGTGGGCACGTGAGATTGTAAGGGCCAATTTTGAGAAATAAAATAAGTTCAGTTTCTCTATAAATTAATCATCAATGTCAAAGGCACACTGATGTAAGACCAGCATCTGGGCCCCTGTGTCAGAGTAACAAAGTTTTCTTGAAGTGTTAACCGACTCCTTAATAAAGGTTATAAAAGTTATAAAAGGCTTATGGAAGTTATATCTTATGGTCAAGATTAAAATGTTATAGATTGCTTATATAATTTTGAAAAACAAATTTAATTGGCTTCATGCTGTTTTTTATTAGAGCTTATTGTTTGGAAAATTAAGTCTCCTCTCTCAAACAATGAAGGTTTTCACCTTTTTTCAGAATTCTTTGAGTTATCACTTTGGTTAAATGAAATGTACAATGACCTGTGATGCTATTTTGTGATATCAAGGGTTTTAAACCTTTGATACTTGACAAACTTTCCAAATCAAAGTATAAATTATGTATTTTTCTGACCTAATTAATTCTTTAGGATATGATGTTCCTTATAGTCCAAAAATGACATATTTGGCTTATTTGGTATGAAATTATACAGGAAACATTGTCAAATATAAAATGGTGTTTGGTTTTCTTTGGGCTGTACTTGTATAAATATGTCATTGGTATTTGTTCCAAAATTATGGAAAACTCCTATAATTCTGATATGACTTAATGTACATTATCAGCAATAATTATAATTGTTATATTAAATTATTGTGTGCCACAGAGGTAACAAATTCCCTTGTCAATTGTGTCTTTGACTATGGCTGCCCTAAAACTTTTTGTTATCCATGGACAATTGTTCTTTTGTTTTTGTCCCCTTTAGAAGGTGGTTTTATAATCAGCTACAAAACTCTAATGGGTACTCTTGAATGCAGGTTTCTGATAACTTTGGAGACTGTGATATTAGAATAGAGAAAAAACTTCCAGGGCTCATGGAGATCTGAAATGTTCATGAATATCAAGGAGAAGTAATATTTTTAATTTTTTGCTTAAAAGTTGCTGATGCTTTGTTTTGTTTTTCAGGGTCAAGAAAAGTTTTAAACTGTTTACATTAAAGCTTTTAACAATTGAGTAAAGTGTACTCCTATGAACAAAATTTGGATCATATTTGCTTTCTTTCTACCTGATTTCTCCAGAATTCAGAAACTATTTGTGAGTTTCCAAATAGTTTGGAAAGAATAGTTTTCAAAGAATAGTTTGGAAACTATTCTTAACTTATGGCAATACAGTTATTTGCATAAGTGCAGTAAGAATCTGTTTTCATTTGTAATAGGATACAATTGGAGCAACTGGTTATTTTACCAACACTTCAACTGGAACGGTGTGTTTTCCTTTAAGGAGTCAAACTTGACTTACGGAGCCAATAAAAGTGCCTTGGGAAAACTGACCTCATACTTGTCTACACAGTCCCTGTACAGGGTTCCTGACCTGTGACCTGTGGTAAGTAAAGAATGTCACTTTCTGACAGGCTTAGGAGCCCCAAGTTTTATCTTGGAACCTCAAGAGGAAAGGATCACCCAACTCATAAGTATTTGATGGTACAATCCATGACTGGGCTTGGCTTTAAAAAAGTCTTATCTGAGATTCCTTCTATGGAACAAAGTCCCATCAAAGCCAATTTAAAAGCTTATGTAAAAAGTACTTATTCTTGCTGCACTGTATACAAATAACTAGGCCAAGTATAATAAAGCAAACCAGCCCTACCATGATTTGTCTTTAGTAACAATGAGAAACTGGAGAGAGAAAAATTATGTTTCAGAAACTATAGTATACCTGTTATTAGATTCCAGTCTTTCCTAATGTTTTTCAATTTTTATTATTTTCTACAGTTTGGACTGAATTTTAATTTTTCTTGGCTACAAGTCTTCAAAATAATGTTTCTAATTTTTTTACTTCTTCTTTTTTCTTGTTTTTCCTAATTTGGAGTCACTGAAAACTAAACTGTGTTTTCATAAAGCCCTACGATTTAAAGCTAGACAACTTCAACTTCAGAAGAAAGTAACAGCCTCTTTACACACATAAGCCACTTTCATACCTGCCTGCTGCTGTATGGACTTCAGAGTAAGGTAGCCTATATTGATTTTCCAGGATTGCTCTTTTGTTTGTTTTTGTTTTTCTCCCTTTCTCCCCCTACTTTCTCTTCACAGGACAGGAGACTTCACAACCTTCTTGAAATTAGCTTTCCTAATAACTTGGGACCTACCCTCTAGGAATAAACCATCCTAGCCATGAGAGACCAGACAAAACCTGAGACCAGAGACTCATTTTCTTCTAAAATGCTTTCTCCAAAAGACTTTTAAAAAGAAAATTTGGGGAAATATGACAGGAAAATATATTGGGGCCCCAAAATCACTCAGCTAAAGGGAGGAGTCAAGCTGGGAGCTGCTTAGGGCAAACCTAAGCAGAGGTTTAGAGGTCACATATAAAACAATCCTACTCACAGTCATCCCTCTATTCATCCCATCCTATTCACAGTCATCCCTCTGCTGACTGAGATAAATGCATATCCGATTGCCTCCCTTGGAGAGGCTAATCAGAAACTCAAAATAATGTAACCATTTGTCTCTTATCTACCTATGACCTGGAAGCACCCTCCCCACTTCAAGTTGCTTCACCTTTCCAAACCAAACTAATGTTCCTCTTACATGTTGATTGATATCTCATGTCTCCCTAAAATGTATAAAACCAAACTGCTCTGACCACCTTGGGCACATGTCATCAGGACCTCCTGAGGTTGTAGCATGTGTCCTCAACCTTGGCAAAATACACTTTCTGAACTGATACCTGTCTCAAGTTTTGGGGTTTCACAAGATCAAACCGATTTGAGTAGACCCTAATCCAATGATGAGTGCCTTTAGAAGAAGAAGGCCACAGAATGCCAAGGCTTGCTCGCAACCACCAGAAGCTAGGAAAGAGGCATGCAGCAACTCTGCCAACACCTGGACTTCTGGCCTCCAGAAGTTTGAGGGTTCTGTTAATACATTTCTGTTGTTTTAAGCCACTCCGTATATGATAATTTGTAACTATAGTCCAAGAAAATCATGAAACTTAATTAGACAATGAAAGTTAACATAATCTGTATTAATAATTAAGCCTTTGCTGCAATAACCTAACTTCTAGTTGTGAATGAGGCAAGCAGTCACTCCATAACTACTTTTCCTGCAGGAGGCTTCCCTACAGCCTTGCTGTCAGAGCCACCCACTTAGTCCTGGGTTGGAGCAGATTTTACAGACCAGGTTTGGTCCCTCTCTCAATTCCAAAAATAGTCCTGTGGCTCCCAAAGATACTCCAGGATGAGCACCAACTCTGGCACCTTGGTAAACACTGAACTGGAGCTTCCTGACTTTAATAGGGTGAACATCGCTTTCAAGCTGGGAGATTAGGGAGCTAATATTTTCCCTGAAACTGACTGGGATAAGTCAAAGTTCTTACCCAGATCTGTCATCTGAAGACAGGAATAGACCTGGACATTTCTCTCCAACTCCATGGAAAGAGATGACCAGTCTCACTGATAATAAGAGACATGCAAAGTAAAACTACCAGGAGATGCCATATTTAGCCTATCAGATTGACAAAAATTTAAAAGTTTGGTAATATTTTGTAGCCAACAATGTAGAGGAATAGGCAATCTCATTGACTGAAGAGGAAGTTGGTACATCACTCTCTAGAGGTCCATTAAGCCATATCTAACAATTACAAATGCACAGGCCTTTTGATCCAGCAATTCCATTGCCAGGAGTCTATTGTATGGATCTCAGGTGGGAACAATGGTTATTTATTGCAGCACTGTTTATAGTGTCACTGTTTGGAAACAACCCAAAGTGTTCATTACTAGAGGACTGGTAAAATAAACTACAACACATAGAATGTGCTGCAGTTAAAAAAATGAATGAACAAGGTCTTTTAATAATGACATGGAATAATTTCTAAGTATATCATAATAGGCAAAGCAAGACAGAGAACAGCATGTAACAAATGCTACCATTTGTGTGGGAAAAAAAAAGTCAGTAGATTCATGTTTGCTTTAATATGCAATTGAGTGAAATTTCTTCCATCTGAAAAAGTCCTATTAAATTTGAATTATGGGGGCCTATAATGGAAATCCATATCTCCAGCATTTCCCTGCTTCCAGACACCATTTACTAAATAGCAAACTTCCCATTTAATTTTCTGGCAACTCTGCTTTTCTCATGTCCTTTATTTGCTTTCCAAAGTTGTTTTTTTTTTTTTTTTTTTTTTTTTTTTTTTTTGAGACAGAGTCTCGCTCTGTCGCCCAGGCTGGAGTACAATGGCATGATCTCTACTCACTGCAACCTCTGCCACCCAGGTTCAAGCAATTTTCCTGCCTCAGCCTTTCAAGTAGCTGGGATTGCAGGCACCTACCACCATGCCCAGCTAATTTTTGTATTTTTAGTAGAGACAGGGTTTCACCATGTTGGCCAGGCCAGTCTTGAACTCGTGACTTCAAATGATCCGTCTGCCTCAGCCTTCCAAAGTGCTGAGATTACAGATTTGAGCCATAGCACCCGGTCTGCCTTTCAAAGATTTCTCATTGCCTCAAACATATACTGTAAAACTCATAGCCCAACATTCAGGACTTACTACTGGGAAGACACAATTTATCCCTCCCACATTATATTCTATTACTCAAATACAGAAACTCTCCATCCAACCGAAATTATGTGTCACTGGCCCCAGACACATTAAACACTTTTATTTTATTGAGGAGACTTGACAAGAGTGAGTGTAAAGTATTATCAAATGGTTTTTCTACATCTATCAAAAAGACAATGTATTAGTGTCCTAGGGGTGCTGTGACAAAGTACCACAAACTGGGTAGCTTAAAACAATAGAAATTTATTGTTTCACAGTTTTGGAGACCAGACATCAAGGGCCATGCTCCCTCTGAAACCTGTAAGAAAATCTTTCCTAGCCTCTTCTGGCTTCTGGTGATTTGCTGGCAATCCCTGACATCCCTTGGTTCACAGCTGTAAAACTCCAGTCTCCGCCTTCATCATCACATGGTGGTCTCTCTGTGTGTCTCTGTCCTCATATGGTCATCTAAGTGAGTGAGCACCTGAGTCATAATGGATCAGGGGTCCACTCCGTTACAAGTTGAGTATGCCTTATCCAAAATGCTTGGGGCCACAAATGTTTCAGTCTTCATATTTTTTCAGATTTTAGAATATCTGCACTTCATTGGCCAGTTCAGCATCCCTAATCTGAAAATCCAAAATCTGAAATGCTCCACTGAGTATTTGCTTTGAGTGTCATGTCAGTGCTCGAACAGTGTTAATTTTGGACCATTTTTGAATTTTGGATTTTTAGATTTAGGATACTCAACCTGTACAGTATGACCTCTTCTTGACTAATTATATTTGTGGTGACCCTCTCTCAAAATAAGATGACATCCTGAAATATTAGGAATTAGGATTTCAACATATCTTTTTTTAGGGTGGGGAACACAACTCAGTCCATAACAGATCATATGATTTTTCTCTTTAGTTTTATGAATAGGATGGATAATATAGATGGATTTCTAATATTTAGCCTACTTGCATTACTGGAATAAATCTCACTCTTTTAATTAAAAAGTAGTTTTTAATGAGCTGCTGAAGTCTGACTCCTGATATGTTAAGATTTTTGAATGATTTTCACAAGTGATAGTATTCTGTCTTTTCTTTTGGTACTATTTCAGGTTTCAAGATGAATATATTGCTTCATAAAAGAAAATTTGAAAAATGTCTTCATCTATGATCTGGAATACGTTAATTAGCATTGTGATTACTCATTTTTTAAATGGTGGATAGAATGTTTTTGTGAAGCCAGCTAGGCCTGGTGCTTTTCATAGAGGAGTATTTTAATCCCCTTTCTCTAGCTGTTTTATGATAATTAGTCTGGTTAGACTTTCTTTCCTGGGATCAATTTTAGTAAGTTGTGTTTTCCTTAAAAAACATCTATTTCATCTATTATTTAAGCTTATTTTCATAGAGGTGTACAAAGTAGGCTCTCAGGTTTTTAAAATTTTTTCTCTGCTTTTAATGATTATTTTTCCTTCAGTATTTAAAATTTCATGCTTTTGTTTTTCCTCTTGTTGTTCCTTTATTATATTAGCTAATGGTTTGTCTATTTTGTTGCATTTTCCCCAATAACTCTATTTTGCATTTATTAGTTTCATTGTTTTTCTCTTTTCTAATTTAAGAATTTATACTTTCTTTTAAGAGGTCTGTAATCTTGGCAGATTTTTGAGATAATTCTGATTCCAGATTTGAGAATTACAGATGTGATACATGTAGTTTTTTTTACTAGAAATTGTCATCTGGTGCTCCATTTTTTTCCTTTTAGTATTGTTTTTATATTATTGCACGTGTTTTTCTCTGTGTATGCATCTTATGTGTATGTAACAGATGGAAGCTCATTGAGGCCAAGACTATAAACTGTATTTCCTAGGGACAATAAATATTGATATTGTGGCTATGAAATTAGAGAATTAATGTAAACATGAAGAACTTGTAGTATGCAGCTTCTGAAAAGGCTCCCAACAATCCCTACCTCTTAGTACTCCTATTCTTGTCTCACTCCCTCTGTCGTCCTTCAGTGTGGGCTAGATCTAGGGACTTGCTTCTATGAAGTAGAACAGGATAAAACTATTGGAATGTTACCTCCAAGATTGGGCTATAAGAGACTTCTATTTTATCCTGTTCAGACTCTCTCTGTATGTCTTGATTTCCTCATTTGCTTGTTTTGGTGAAGTAAAGGGCTGTATAATGAGCTATTCTATGAAGTGGCTGTATAATGAGCTATTCTATGAAATGGCCCATGTGTTGACAAAGAGAGAATGGCCTCTGGCCAACAGTCTGCAGCTAATTGAAATCTGCCAACCATCATCTGAGTGATCCTGGAAACAAATCCACTTCCAGTTGAGCCTTGAGATGATGTAGCCTCAACCAGCAGCTTGGCTGTGACCTTGTGAGAAAGCCAGAGCCAGGGGACCCAGCTAAAATACACTTGGATTCCTGCTCTGCAAAAACTTTGAGATGTTAAATGTTGTTGTTTTAAGCTACTATTTTTGTGTGATAACTTGTTATGCAGCAATAGATAATCAATACAGAACCCAAATTCTGTATACTTGTCTTGATCCAGGAAACATTGCCCAATTGAAAACTGAACAGTCTAGTTGTAATTTGGAAGTAACCTGCTCTTCAGAGAAATAACTCTAAATCAGAACTTAAAAACCAATAATGTAATTAATACCAAAATTTTTCATTTAAAGTGAAGGTATTTTAACAACACTTGAAAAATTAATTTGTTAAAGGTTACCACTTGTCCCTGCCCCCATTTTTTCTTTCTTTTTTTTTTTTTTCTTTTTTTTTTTTTTTGAGATAAGATCTCACTCTGTTATCCAGGCTGGAGTGCAGTGGTGTAGTCATGGCTCACTGCAGCCTCAACCTCCTGGTCTCAAGCAATCCTTCTGCCTCAGCCTCCTGAGTAGCTAGGACTACAAGTTCCCCCTACCATGCCTGACTAACTTTTAAAAATTTTTTGTAGCGATGGGGTCTCCCTGTGTTGCCCAAGCTGGTCTTGAATTCCTGGCCTCAAGCAATCCTCCCACCTCAGCCTCCCAATGTGCTGGGATTACAGGCATGTGCTACCATGCCTGGGCAATTGTCTTTTGGAATAACTTATTTTTAGTGTGGCTTCTTTTAAAAATTGTATCTGCACATAAGTACGTATAACATGCCAAGTGAATGACAAGCTGCCTAGATAAAATGTGTAGATTATGGTTGAATTATAACATGGATTTTTACTGTATAACATTTTAACCAATATTAGTTTCCTAACACTGGTGGAGACTGCCGGTTGTCCACAAAAAAATTCTGTCCTCCACTTCTTCCACAGGAATATAGCTTCAGCTGGACGTAAGGTTGCCCTGCGAGAGATAACATTTCCAGTGGTTTCTCACTGATAGAATATCAGTGAAAGTGATGCGTGAACTTCTGCCTCACTTGCTTAATAAGACATTGCTGCTCAGAACACTCTCTTTTTTCACCCTTTCAGGAGCTGAACTTCACAGGTGCCCTAACATAGATTCAACCATGCAAAAGAGGACGATGACCTAAGGCTCAGCTTTAGGGCATGGTGGAGCAATAAGATGAAAAGAACCACAGTCACGGATTAGGGCCATGGAGCAGAGTTTCCTACTAACCTCAACTGCTTGCCTTAGAACCATTCTATGACAGAGAAATGCATGTCTGTATTCCTTAAGCCACTGTATTTTGGGATCTCTTTGTTACAGTAGCTTAACCTTTATCTGAACTAATATTAATATATCCATCATCAATTCCTTTTAAATGTGTCATTTTGTAATTGTTATATATATGCAATTGAGCAAAGTACAAATAACTGGATCTCTGCCCTGGCAAAAAAAAAGGTTGTAGGGGCGGGATGCGAAATGTATTTCCCACAGGTATAACTAGTGTTCAACAATGGAAGAACTACAGGGTATTTCTCTGGCATCAAGAAAATTTTTTTTTGCATAACTGCAAGCTACTATTTAACATCTCTGCACCATTACAGCGGTCTTTCAGCCCTACCACTTCTCAAAGATGTTGATATTTGTTAGGTTGGTTGAGAAATTCATGTTCAAAATATCAGACTGGGCCTTAGAAAAAAAAGGCTCCGGGGAAATGTACTTTACCACCGCCCAGGAGGCTCTTCGGTCCCACTCAAGATGTTCAGAGCCAAGTTCTCCTGATGATTCCTTCCTAGATTGAATGGCTCCAGCACAATACACCTTGTTATCATGATCTCACTAGGTCTTACAGAGCTTGTCTCAAGATTATTTTTACAAGAGCCTTATAAGAAAGACAAGAAGTGAGGATTATCATTTCATTACAGGGATAAACTGAGACGTACAGTGACTTACATCAGGTGACTTGGTGAGGCACTAGAAGCTGGAATCAGTAACTGATCCTCCATGGAGATAAAATGCTCTGTCTACAACTATAATTCTTTGACAATTAATGCTACGTGTGCCATGTTTTGCTTTGCCTCTTTTTCCTAATTGGCAGAAAGAAAAATCGAAGCACTAAATTTGGGAGACACACAATGCCAGTGTCTTCACAGGAAAACATAATTCTTTAATACATAAGCAGAACAGGGCCCCAACGATCACAGCTCCAGCTTCTAAAACCCAACCACGGGGTTTTGCCTCACACCTGTAAATGACAGCCAGCAGCACTGTGGAGAGATGCTTCCACCTCCTGCGCTGGACATTTCTGTGTGTGATCCTGCCAGGCGTCACAATAACTCTGCATGTCTTCTGTAAGAGGAAAATGGTTTCCCTTAGGAGCTTCAGCATTCTCTCAGTCCCCTTGACTTTGTTCTCCAGACAAGACTGAGAAGCAAGAAAACTAGAAACTAGAGCATGAAAGGGACTACATCATCCTGGAAAGTCACATCCAAAAGACATTCAGACCTAAAAGGACAACTGAATAAATAAATAAGGCAGTGACAGGTGTTCATTAATCATTTGTGCAACCGATGGCTTTTGCATGGACAATCAGGAAACATGCAGATTTCTGCGGCAAACGAAAGACAGGATTGAATTGCACTTTTATGCAGACCGATCACCTGGGCCTAATTTGACTGTTGCCTCCCAAGGAATCTCTGAGCCCAGGAGGGAAATGTAGGAGGGAGGAGGGAAAACCAACCCCAGCCTGCAGGATGTTTCCTTTGCTGTCTTCTGCTGAGCGCTCTAAAGCAGGTGCAGGTGCAGTGAGATACCTAAGCCTGTCCCCAGTCCTCCAGTATTTGCTCTCTTCTCGTTTAAACTCCCTAAGGGGTCTGGTGCGGTCCTCCCAGTGTCATTGCTTAAGCAGAGCGGAAAGAAAGAAGTAGGAGAGAGCGGAAAGCATCTTTGTTCTCAATGCGGAAAATCCAGAAGGGAGTTTCCTCCCAACCCACCTGAAAGTGTTCCCCAGTTGCCAAATCAGAAGGGCAGGGGCAGCGACGCAGAAGATGACTCAGGGCCCACTTTGATCCTCCTGGGTACTTGAGCAAGCTCAAGGGTGTTTGGACCTCTGGGGAGACGTTGCATCACGCAGTTTGGAAAGAACCTGGGAATTTTCCCTAGGGGACTCGCTGTATTTACTGGGAACTAGTCTTGCAGGAAGGTGGGAGTATGTGGCTGGCTGTGGGGAGCTGGCGTTCGAGGAAATCCGACTTCACCATGGGTTCACAGTTGCAAGGAAGGTCACTATGGGATCAACCTGAGCCCGAAAGGATGGGCTCGCGCAGGTGCACGCGCGCTTGGCCGCTCCCATTAGTGTCACGTTTGCCGGGGGGAGAAAAAGCGGGGGTTAGGGGCGCAGGGAGAAGAGAGGCGAAGTTCGGCCCTCGGCACTCCTCCGCCTGGTTACAGGCGGTCCTGGCCCAGTGGCCGCCCGGGGCCGCCCAAGCCCTCCGGGACTGAGCGAAAGAGGCACGCGCCTTGCGCAAGGTGGAGGCGGACACCTGGGCGGGCGCTAGGACCCGGGCGGCGCACCTGTTGGCTGGGCCCGGGGCTCCGCCCGCCCGGCCTCCGCCTGGAGTGCGGGACCGGCGGGGGCGAGGCGGGAGTGGCGGTGCCAGCGGAGGGCACCGGCCGGAGTGGCGGCGGCGGCGGAGCGCGGCCTCGGGCTCACCATGGCCGAGCTGCTGCGGAGCCTGCAGGATTCCCAGCTCGTCGCCCGCTTCCAGCGCCGCTGCGGGCTCTTCCCTGCTCCGGATGAAGGCCCCCGGGAGAACGGCGCCGACCCCACGGAGCGCGCGGCGCGGGTCCTCGGGGTCGAGCATCTCCCCGCTGTCAACTGCAAGGGCGGCGGGGCCCCGGCCAACGGGCTGCGCAGAGCCGCGGCGCCGGAGGTAACCGCGGGCAGGTGTTCGCCGGGGACGGGGAAGGGGCGGCTGCGGACGTGCGGGTCCCGGAGACTCAGCCACGCGGGGCCGGCCGGGTCGAAAGGGCGCCGTCCCCGGCAGCGACCCGGCTCCCGCCGCTGCGAGCGGACGGGGAGGCCTGGCCTTCCAGTAACCAGGATGCCATCCTCCAACGCTGCCAGGGGCAACCGGGTCTATTGAGATATCCCCAGACGCTTTCAATGCAGTCCATTTAGAGACTTCCCACTTTGAAAAGTAGTTAAATTCACGTAGATGCCAGCAAATATGTAAGAGTTACGTAATGGAACAGAGGAGCGGGGATGCCCTTGACACTTCCCCGGGGAGACGTTCTTAGACTCCCCCCTGTATTCTTGCATTTCCGCCCATCCCCCTTCCCTGATCCACACAAATGAGGGTGCAGCCGGGCTCGGCACGCTCCTCACCGCGCTGCACCGCCAGCTCTGGGGACAGAACTTGGGACTCACACAGCTCCTAGAGAGATTTACAACCTCCCTGGACTACCCCCGGCGATGATGTCTTAACAGCACCTCCCGCTTGTCCTCCCCTAGAGTCTGGGGGTCCTTCCTGCCTGGTGGGTCTTTTGTGGACCGACACCACTGACTTCTAACAGATGCTTCTGGGAGGGAAGCTCGCCACGCTCCCCGCTAGGCATTCAGAGCGTGGTTATACAACCCACTGCGGCTTGGGGGGAACCAGCGTGCGTCGTCGTCGCAGTGCACAGGGACTCCAGGCAGGAGGGACCAGACGGGCTGCACTTGGCTTCTGGGGACGCATGTCTACCAGGAGCCCTGGCTGCACCTGCCCTTTCCCTCGGCAAAGTCAAAAGTGTGGCGCAGGAGAACAGAAGCAAACGTATTAATAATTCGAATTCCTTGTACACAGCCACATTTTGTTCTTCCTAGAAGGTTTTGGTGAAAGAAAGGTGGCCTTTATTTACGTGTGAATTTCTAGATGTAGTAACTGAGGAATTCTGAAGAACCTGGCTTCTGTGTGGAAGGGAATATGATAGGCATTGGATTATAGAATTAGTTTGGGAGGGTCAGGGTGGTTGTGTGTGCCACTCCAGAGAAATCCCCCTCTGTATTTTTTCCTCTTTATTGTCCCTTCTTTATCCCATGTGACATTCTGGTAACTTATAGATGAGTATGAGAACCCCCTCTTTTCTCTTGCCTTGTCTTAAAAAGGGGGCAGAGTAGGGGGGATAAGAAATCAGCTGGGCATGGTGGCGCAACCTGTAGTCCCAGCTACTCGGGAGCTTTAGGCAGGAGAACAGCTTGAGGCAAAGGTTGCAGTGAGTCAAGATCGCACCACTGCACTCCAGCCAAGGCGACAGAGCGTGACTCTTTTTCAAAAAAACAAAAACAAAAACAAAAACAAAGACCAAAACAAACAAAAAAACAGTCCCATGGCTGAAACGTGCCATGACATAGTCGGTGCACACACCGTTTATACCCACAGGTAGACACGTGAGTTGCTTTCTGTTGCTCTCTTCACAAGCTTCTACCCTGTTGCTCTAATTCAGGGAGCTGAAAAAGAGTGAACTGTTCCACCAGTGCTTTTCAAACTGTTTTAAGCATCACCCCTGATAACTTAACTTTAAACTCCAGAGTTGGATCCTCTTGACCTTTAAAAGCAAGATAAGCAGATTTCTTACACAGCATTATCTTCTTACTGCTTGACAATCCTGGGTCTTCAGTGAGCGAAATGGTGAGGGTTTCCCCATACCCACCCAGCCAACACAGGACTTCTGCTCACAGATCATGTAAAAGCGAGAAAGCCGAATGCCCAAGATAAGAAATCATTGTGTTGGTATATAATGGGGGAAATCATAAACTAGAGAGTGCTTGATAAATGAAAGGTTAATAAATGTTGTTACAGGTGGGTTGGTTTCAAATGACTTGGGAAGATTAATCCTTTACACACACACAGAGTCTCCCCCTCAGAAATGATGTCATACCTACACTCAGGTAATTTGTAGGACTTTAAGGCGACAGTTGTGAAAGGTGTGCTGCCCTCTCTGCAGGCCTTTGTACAGGCCTTGGCCTGCCTGAGCTGCCTGTCCTTTCTCTAAATATCCTCCCCACCCATCCTTCTATTTCCAAAGGTCAGTTCCTCCATGGGTGCCCTCTCTGACCTTCCAGCCTAGCTCCCCCTGCTATAGTTTCTCTTTGCTTTCTGCGTTTCTTCATTACAGCATTTATCACATTGTCTAAATGTGCCTTTGTGGGGATATCTGATAATTCCCAGCCCCTCCAGAGGATAAGCTCTAAGAATGCAGGAAACTTGTCTGTTATGGTCCTTATTTTCTTCCTATAGCCTGGCATATAGGAGGAGCTACTCACTTTTATGAATACATGCGTGTAGATTGCAATATAAAATTATAGTTTCAAACTTTTTTTTTTAAGAGACAGGGTCTTGCTGTATCACCCAGGGTGGAGTGCAGTGGCGCAATCATGAGTCACTGTATCCTCCACCTCCTGGGCTCCTGTAGTTCTGCTGCCTCAGCCTCCTGGGTAGCTAAGACTACGGATGCATACCATCATCTGGTTTTTTTGTTTGTTTGTTTGTTTGTTTGTTTGTTTGTAGAGACAGGGTCTCACTATGTTGCCAAGACTAGTCTTAAACTCTTGGCCTCAAGTGATCCTTCTGCCTCAGCCTTGCAGAGTGCTGGAATTATAGATGTCAGTCACTGTGACTGGCGATGTTTTGTTTTTCTTTTTTAAAAAATGAGTGAATATTGAAAATCAAGTGATTTTTCCACATAGCCTAGCAGGTAGCACAAGAACATTGATTTAAGACTCTGTAAACAATAGAGAAGTTTTCTTCTTCATTTGAGTGACTTTAGATCTTAATGAATCTAATTTACCTTCCCACCTTTCACATTTTCTATATTTGTTTTAATTTTGAAAACAGGACAAGTGTTTCCTGTTTTCAAGTGACTGAAAGTTTCCTCTACAAGTTCTCATTACACCACACGCCGCTAGCTTAAAGATTAACTGCATCTTTTACAAACCAGGAGTGGGCTTGGCTTGTACAAGCCTGTCATTGAATAAATTGGACAGGGCCTTAAGAGATTGCCCAGTAGTCATGAATTTCACAGAAAGTCTGAGTCCTGAAGGGTTAAGTGATTTGGTGAGGACTTCCAGGATATCCGCACAGTCAGGGGAAGTCAGATCTTTTGACTCCCAAGTCTAAACTGCTTTCCTCTGTGCAGATTCCAGGGAAAATTCCAGGGCGTCGCTGTATCTGATTCACTGAGGTGTGTCCTGTTGGGACCGGCTGGGACAGGGTGGAGATTGTGTGAAAAGAGGTGGTATTGCTTTCAGTTTGCAAGGGTATCTGACTTGCAAGAGTAACTGTAGGAAGCCATTTTTGGTTATTGCTTTGGGAGGCACTGCCCTGAGCAAAACGCAGGATCCTAGGACTGGTCCAAGAAGGTAAAGGTGTGATGAGAATTTCATTTATTTGTCCTGGGGTAAAGCCAGCCTCGGATATAATGGTATTATGATTTCTAACATTTTTGCTTACTCAATACGGTTGTATTTAGTTAGACTCTGCAGTGCCTTCCTCAGCATTACATTAGACTAAGGATCATCTTTTCTAATATCCCCGTGTCCAGTACTTTTTGATAACTGCTCAGACATAGTTCTCACATTGACTTAGGGAGAGGTTCAAAGATAAGTTGTTTCCAGAAATCTTAGACTCTTGAAACATTTCAAGTTTTCCTCTTGAAACATTTGAGGCCTTCTAAATCTGTTAATCTATGAAATTCCACCCTTGATTTCATTGGTGTGCTAAAATACAAACACTAGGAAACCAAGAGATCAGGATCTAGTTTTACCTTCATGTCATTTTGGACTTCTCTGAACCTCGTTTGTCTCATCTGCAGAATGAGCAGAGTGGAAAACAAACAAACAAACAAACATGGTTTTCTGGGTTTTTTTTCTTTTTTTTCTTTTTTTTTTTTTTTTTTTTTTTTGAGACAGAGTCTTACCCTGTCACCCAGGCTGGAGTGTGGTGGCTCCATCTCAGTTCAGTGCAACCTCTGCCTCTCGGATTCAAACAGTTCTCCTGCCTCAGCCTCCCAAGTAGCTGGGATTAAAGGCATGAGCCTCCATGTCCAGCTAATTTTTATAGTTTTAGTAAAGATGGGATTTTGCATGTTTGTCAGGCTGGTCATAAACTCCTGACTTCAGGTGATCTGCCCGCCTCTGCCTCCCAAAGTGTTGGGATTACAGGCGTGAGCCACCGTGCCCGGCCAGGAATCATGGTTTTCTAACCATGGCTGTACAGTATAGTCTCGAGTATAGTGTACAGTTAGAGAAGTTTTCAAAACAAAACAAACATAAACCAATGTCCAAGATCCAGGTTAGAAGAGGGGTCCAGAGACGCTGGCCAACAAAGTTGGGAAGCTCTGAGTTCTCTTCTCCTAGGACCCACCACCCTTTGTATATTCAGTAGGAGAGTAGTGATGGCTGCAGGCAGTGGTCATGGCAGCTGTGACATTTTGGCTTCATCATAACTAAACTGGCCAACAGATCAGACTGCAAGCTTTTATTATCCTTTATTGGATGCTTACGTGTGAAATGACAAAATGAGATATTTTGAAAGTATACATTTGATCTTTTTTTCTAGTTACAGATATCATTGTTCACAGGAGAAAACTTGGAATCCCACAAAGAGAAAGTTAAATTCATGCCCATTATATCACCGCCCATTGCTAATCACTTAGTAAATGTTCAGCCCAATTTTTAATGGCTGCATGTTCCTCCAAAGGATGAATATACTGTGATTTAGTCAGCTAGGCGCTGTGCCTTTGGGTTGTTTCCAGTTTTTACATTAAAAATGATAACATCTTTGTACAAGTATCTCTCCTCCTGTCTTTGATTATCTTCTAAATAAAATATCAAGACTTGAAATTGCTGAGTGAAAAAATGCATATATTATTGCTCTTCATAGCTATTACC